AAAGAATTTCAAAGTGATAATTTATTAAGCTCTATGTTACCCACAGTACCTTGCAATAGTCTGTTGTTGCAACAAATTCATATGAGCCAAGGTGAAGCTCTGGTCTTTCACATATGTCAACCCGAAGCCCTTGATGGTCAAGGTGACAGAAATATTCTGCTGGGACTGTAAACAATTACACAAAATTATTAACAAAACTACTCCACAAGAACTGAATGAATGGATGCATGAATGAGTTATTTCTTTATGCATCCATTCATTTATTCATCCCATATATCCCATATACCCATTCATTCTATATATATTTCCCCGTCACATTTGGATGCGATGCTTCTCTTCACAAATACTATTAAATAGCCGATTTGTGAATTTCACCTCAAACACAAAAGAATCAAGACGAGGCGCTGTGGCGTAAAAGTCAGTCAATTGTAAAAACTATTGTCTTTCCACGAATGACTGAGCTTTATGCACTGTGCCTTGTCTTTATTCCTTTGTGTGTGACTACTGAGGCAAAATTCGCAAGTCTGCTATTATCTATTCTTTCTTTCACAAACAATTTGTTCTATTATTTCATTCATTTCTATTTCTCTGTACTGTTTTATCTTCCATCTTGACCATCACCATTCTCTATTTGTATGAGTATCATAGACCTGAGTAAAATTCTCTTCTTACCTTCTGTAGAATATGTACAAATATTACAAACAAATCTTCTCCCTCCATCAATAAACTGTACAAAAGGGTTGATATAAGCTTTGCAACGGTTACAGCGCACTGGACCTGATGGACCATGGTTTACAATTGGCAAATAACCCTAATAAAACAACCATYAGTCTCTCAGTAATGCGTAATGAAAAATTACAATGAGACTTGTCACTACATTTCTTCTATGCTTCAGGGCAAAAAAAATAAGAGCATGTCAATGAACAATGTCTGGTCAACATTTCGGTTTAAGATAACAGAACAGCTGATAAATAATCATTGTTAAAAATGTTGTTAAACACTTACCTCACTAGGAGGTATTTCAGCAAAGGGAGTGATAGCCAAAGCAAAAGGAATATCACTTGCTTGCAATATGTCCTTATTACATGGCACATTGTACATTGTACTTCTTATGAATCTTGGACTGCAGTTACCTACAAAATAGTAAATGGTTTTAGCAAAACAACACCATCTTAATGTAAAGCAATGGCTGTATAGTAAGCCACCTTACTACTACTTTATGGCTCCACTTAAGGTGTTTCGATCGTAATAAATAGCGTTTCAAGTTATTTCGAGTTGATTGCGCAAAATGATGTACATTCAAACAACTTGAAATTTTAGGTTGAGATTTTGAAACTTCGTCAGTATCTCAATTATGTTATTAAGAAATGATTCTGAAAATTTTATTACAATCTCTGCGATGAGTTTTGAGAAAATTAACTTTGAASAAAAATGAAGGTGTTTTTATTTTGCATCGTTTATCCAAATGGCTTTGCTTTTTGGCAAATTAATCTATCTACAAGAATTATCAATAATCACTGTTACATGTACTTCTGTGAAAATTTGAGTGCAATGGAATCGAAATTTGCGACGTTGTTGGAGTTTAAAAATACACGCGAAGTGCTATTTAATACGATCGAAACACCTTAAGCCAAAGACTGTAGAAATTTTGCCTACAACTGTTGCATGCTATATGCACACATTTAAGTCATCCTTATAACATGGCTACAACTGTAGTAGGTCTATTAAACAATGATTTTGAATCTCTATRATTTTTTGAAGCCACATGTTACATTTGATAGTTGTAGCCAAAAGTTGTGCTGACTAATACTTATTCTAATCCCTAGCCATAAAAGCTATTGAAGATGCTCTAGTTGACTGGTGCAAACAAGTATTGTTTATGTGATTTTAGGTTTTCTTACCATCATCTTTAATGATACACTTGCTGGTGACAAGAGGAGGAATTCTCCCYCTAGTATTGGTGAGGAATGGACCCTCTTTATGAGTTTCCTGGTCATCTTTCATCACTTGTATCTAGAGAGCAAAAGAGAGCATTTTATTGAAGAACTGTGGCAATTTAATAGGGATAATGCAATACTTACAGGGCTAGGCATTTGATCAGGATCAATTCTCTTTTGCTGTTGCATGGCACCAGGCCCTGACATGCCTCCCATGGGTGGTCTTGGTCCAGACATAGTCGGTCCAGTACCTGGGTAACCAGACTAAGAACGAAGAATGCATCATATTTATTATACATGCGGTATACAATCCATGCAATGAAAAATATATTATATAATAAAAAGTTTAATCATTGGCATGAAATAATATTGTATCATAAAATCATGCTCCCAATGTAGTCAGAGTGATGTTTGTGATTAAAAAAAATATATTAAAATAATATCCATATATTTGTTTGGCAAGCAGCTCTGTAAGGACTGACTCCAAGCATGAGACACAGGGCAGATACTGTACACAGAAGAAGAGCTACCATCTTAGGGATGCTAAAGGTTTCCCAATTTTCACAAATGACTGGGATCAGAATGGATGAATGAATGAATGAATGAATGAATGAATGATTTTATGACACTGTTGATGACATTTTTGTACATGTAACTACCAAACACATAGAATTTCTAAAACATTCTCTTCCTGGAAAGTACCAACCTGTGGAGCTCCAGGAAATGATGGTGGCATCATACCAGGCTGTTGCATACCAGGCATCATACCTCCCATAGAGGATGGTGGGTTCATTGAYAGGCCTGTTGTTGGAGGACCAGACAAACTGTTTGCTGTTGACATCTGAGGGTATGTTGGCTGTCCTGGATTAGATGTCTGTCCTGGCATTGGTGGTCGACCATGAGGTCCTRGCCATCCCATTGGTGGTTGTGATGATGGAGGAGCGTTCATACTTAGATTTTGCATCTGTCCAGAAATAAAAATGACTATAGTTTTCATGTTGGTAATCAAATACTAGCACTACTATTTTGTATGAATAAGTTAATGCTAATACTTTTGTTTCWTTTGCTCAAGTAGCTGACTATTTTGAACAATAATTTACCTTTAGCTGTTACTGAATATACTCTACTAATAGCAATCATTAATACTTATTATGCATTCTAGTCCTATGTCAATGGTTTTAACCTTATCAAAAACTAACTGAACTCACCTGACTTGTTGGAGGTTGCTGTGAGATGGGCGGCCTTGTTCCATACTGGTAAGGTTGTGATGTTGGAGGTTGTTGTGGAGGCATTCCTGGATGTTGTTGTTGAGGCATACCAGGTCGTTGTTGTTGCATAGACAWTGAAGGCTGTGGTGGCATACCTGGACGTTGCTGTTGTGAGACTGGAGGCATTCCAGGTCGATGCTGTGATTGCATCATTGGGGGCATCAATGGTTGTTGTTGTGGTTGTGAAACTGGTGGCATTCCAGGTCGTTGTTGTGGTTGTGACACTGGTGTCATAGCTGGTCGTTGTTGCGACTGGGATGTTGGTGGCATTCCTGTTTGTTGTGGTGGCATTCCAGGCCGATGCTGTTGGAATTGTGATGTTGGGGGTTGTTGCATACCTGGTTGATTTTGTGGTGGCATTCCTGGTCTTAGTGGTTGTTGGAATTGTGATGTGGGTGGCATTCCTGGTCGTTGCATTTGTTGGTTTTGTGATGTAGGTGGTTGTTGGGGAGGCATACCAGGGCGCTGCTGATATTGAGAAGTTGGAGGATGTTGCATGGGATTACCCTTTTTTTAAAAAAAGAAACTCAAAGTGAATTTCATTACTGATATAAAATATACATACAGAATATCTTCTGTTATTGATAACTCTCTGGGGCCAGTTGTACAAAGGGTGATAGCGCTATCCACCAAATAAATGCCATTCAAAACCTATCAAGTAGATAGCTCCATGTGTTGGATAAACTCATCTAAACTTTATACAAATGGTCCCAGGTAAATTTAGCCAGAGAAATGTGACCCGTCCATTCAGATATAGATATTGCAAGACACCTTATCATGTGGTAAGAGTTTCTATGCTGATCACGTAATAACAAGAGAGTGCCTTGTTTCATTCACAAGTACATATGTCTAAACTCAATTGATCAGAGAAGATTACATTGGCTAACATAACAACTAAGATTCCAGTTGCAATGCAAATGCTGTTTTCAGCTTTTTTATGGTAAAAAAAAAAAAATTCGCAGGCAGTTTTCCATTGCCTGTACTCTTATTGACAATGAAATTGAGCTTGTGGTTCCAATTGAGTTTTGAGCATTTTTGACGTCAATTTCACTGTCAATAAGAGTACAGAAAATGGAAAACCGCCTGTGAATTGTTAAAGTGATAGCTTGTTGTTGCTGTCAATCAGACTCAATTTCGTGTTTTTTTCAAAGATCCTCATCGAAATATGTACAAGGAATACAGTAGAACAATGATATTTCATTCCTTTGTATGAATTGTATTTTAACAATATAAATATAAACATTCAGCTTTTAGTCCAAGTAATATCATCAAAAATCGTTATAACTTATGCTTGGTATTCATATGATACAAAATATATCTTTACGTTTCACGAAAAAAAAATAATCATAAAAAATGTAGGACAGAATATTAATATGGCCTGATCGTATGAACTTAGAAAGTGTTTTCTGAGGATTTAAGCTATCCAAAAGACATGTGTAATATTTTTTCATCACATAAACCTTTTGAGAATCGTTTACCACTGTAGTTYTAATCAAATACCTTTTGTTGCATTTGCTGTGGAGGAAATTGAGAAGGAAATCCACCGTTCATTTGTCCATTTGTCATATTATTTGCGGGATTTTGTTGTTGTTGTGGAAAAGATCCCGGCGGTCTCATTTGCTGAGGTTGTCCTCCTTTAAGACTAACATCGAATGGTTGATTTCTATTTGTGAAAGAAAAGCGAATACGTTAGAATTTCACGCGAAGCAGAAATAACATCGAAGCCAGACAGCAGCCATCTTACCTGTAGCCGGCTCCTGGCGGTGGAGGGCCTTGATTTATCATGGCTTTTGTGCCTCACAAATACAATTATATTTCTTGTAAATTGATGTCACAGCAGCTAGAATATAAAAGTAGGTTTCCGTAACACAATTAAGCCAAGAAACCTTTTGGTTATTATTTTTTTGTGGCCTCAAATGGAATTTCTTTCCAGCTAAATAGCACTCTTTATGCCACGTAGTCTTGATTTGCATCAAGAGCTCTTTATGCGCATGTCTAGTACCCAGTGCCAGCTCAAAATACCGACGTGGAAATAAAGGAAAAGTTTAGAAAAACTAAAAGCTGCACAAAATTATAGAAAATAAGTGTTTAGAATTTGCTTGGAATAGGTCATAGTAAGATTTGTAACTAGCGTTACATACTATTTTTATACATAAAGAATTGCCGAGCCTTTGGGCTCCCTGTCGTAAAATCTACTCTCTTTTATTAGTTTTGAGTCTGTTTTTCCATTTAAGCTTATCATTAAAAGATCCATGTTTTTTTAAGGCAAATTTGAGAAATAAAATTAAGATTTTCATTCATAGCCCTTGGATAGAACAAAGGAAACCTTCTACAGTTCCTCTCCTAACCCTGGAACCACCACGAAGGTGGTATTCCTCTAAAAAGATATCAAAAGCTTTTCCAAAAGAGCGTCGCTTGCAAAATATGAGCCCTTGAACTTCTATATATGATAAATTTTTTGTCGCAAAAAACTTTTTCACGTATTCCGCGGGCTACCTGTGCTCTTCTAGCAACTCCTTCATCCAAGATGGCGGACGAAGTTGGTCGAGTTTTGGTTGTCAGTTGTAGCTCGTTATTGACTTCATTCGAAGCTATAAAGCGAATTAACGCGAGTGACGAGCTTCCAAACCCTGAAAAGACGACACCACATCTGGATTGCTATCCATGGGTGATTAAAAACAAATACTTCGTTGTTAAAGTTCATCTTTGCCACGGAGGAACATATGATATCAAGCTGTTACTCCAGGAGACATCACACTTACATTTTGAAGCCATTATCATTATATTCGACCAAGAAAAGAAAGAAACCTTGCAAAGTGCAACGGATTGTATGAAAATACTAGAATCCCATGAAGCATCTGTTCAGCTACTAYTGAATGCTGGGAAAGATGAAGTKTCTATGTCAAACCAAGGGTTATCAAAGACAGAGGTATTGGAATGGTGCTTAAAGTACTCTTTTGAACTCGTTGAGTTAAACCCAAATGATGATGAAGACCAAGAAGCAGGAGAATTTGGWGAGCAGACTGGATTTCCCAGAGTTATACAAGCACTCAACTGCGGAGAATGGCCAAATATTGAATTGAAAGCTGGTATCAAAAATGAAAATGTGCATGGCAAAAAATTGGCTAATGAAATGTCAAAAGATGAAATGAAATATTCTGCACAGAGTAATCCTAGTAAAGAAAATGGTCAAGAAACAAAAACAGATGAAGGCTCACAAAAGTGCTCAGGTCTCACARAWGATGAATCTGAGTTGCTTCGAAGACTTGGACAAGAAGAACCAGAAGAAGAGTCTTTTGAAGATCTTTTTATGAAACTCAAAGACATGAAAGATCATGCTGCAACCCTTCCTCATGAAGAAAGAAAATCTTATGCAGAGCAAGTGGCTGTGGCATTTTGGAAGGCAATGGGTGGAGA